CCTGCGTCATGTAGAATTTTCAACTCCAAATTTTCTCTCATTTTCAGGAGAAGATTCGCATGGAGAATATTTTGGCAGGAAATCCATTGCTAAACCTCAATGAGCCTGCATCCTCATCAGCGAATGGCGGCGATTTTAAAGTTAAGCGAAGATGGGATGATGATGTCGTCTTCAAGAACTGTGCTAAAGGTAAACTTATCATTCACTATCATAAACAAGGTTCGTTCAGGTGACATTATCTGTGATTTTTTCTTACAGGTATTGATGAGAGAAAGAAAGAATCTACATTTATCAATGACGCAATTCGCTCGGAGTTTCATCGGAAGTTCATGGATAAATACATAAAATAGTTTTGCCTCTTTTTGTTGTTCACCCCCTGTTTGATCTTTTCCATTTTTGTGCGTCTCATGGGTTTATGAAATAATTATTCACATAAATGTTTTGACTTTTTGTTTGACCATTTTTCTCGAAAGGATAGCCTTTGATATCTTTCCTTGATCGCTAGAGTACCATCTCCATAAGACTTATCTGAATTTATCTCCTTAAAGCATGAATGGGGCAAAAGCTGCTACTGCTGAGGACGTTGCTGCTACAACTGCTACACGTATGGATGATGTGAAAATGAATGAACGCATTGTCGTATGGCGAGTAGTCAACGGAGAGCGGAGAAGAGTTAGTTTCATCTTAGTTTCCATCAAAATCGTAGCTTCAGCACATTTTTGCAGGTCCTTGCTACTTTGCTGAAAAAGAGAACCCGCGAGTCGAAACATGAATTTGGTGAAACGAATGGCGAAAAGTGCGATCCTGAAGCGAATGCTGCTTCTAATGAGGTGATCAAGATCAAAATTGATCTGGAGTTTGAAATGTTTTTGTAGGCCAACAATATGAAGAATGAAAGTTTGGAGTATTTTGTGCATTTCGATGGTCAAGATCGGAGGCTTGATCAGTGGATCAGTGGAGATCAGTACGTCGAATTTTGTTAGCCAATTTAGCATGTGTCTCTACGAGGAAGAACAAATGTTTTCTAGTTCAAAAATTATTTCGCGGTCGTGATGAGTGGTTTCATGGCTTTTGTAATGAAGTAGCTCTTAATGGGAGTCTCTCGGCAGAATTTCGTTTTTCAGTTCTTAACCTTTTCGGCCCCTTCTCGCCATGAGAAACTCGAATATGGGCATTTCAGCGCATGAAAATGGCGAAAGAGCTCTTTTGAGAGTTTTCCAGGTTCGCATTCAGTGGAGAATACGTATAAGTAGGTGGGGCCCGGATCGGGGGAGGCGGGGTGCGAAGGGCCACCTGCGTATTTTCGCTGAATGCGAATATGAAAAGCATTGGAAAAAGCTCGTTTTCGCTACTTTCATGCGCTGAAAAGCCCAGATATGGAAATCTCATGACGAGAAGGTTCCGAAAAGGTGAAAAACTGAAAACGAAATTTTGCCGAGACACTAGCTCCAACGGTGCTTTCGTTATTCACCATAGGATCGTCCCCTCCCCCCTTTTTCGCGGTTCTCTTATGAAGAAGTTCGTAGAAAAAAAGGGGTGGGGGACGATACTGCTGGAGATGCTAAACAGTCACCAGCAGATGGCATTGTAAGGGGAATATGTTCCAGTAACTATAGGATTTCTGAAAATTACGTTTTTTGGAACTTTTGGAATAGAGAATGGCTTTTGCGGATCATAAGGTTAAGAGGGGACTTTGAATAATTTTTTTTACCTATTGGTGCTAGCCCGGTATAAAGTGATACTGAGTTTTGCAAAGTTTGATCTACCTAATTTGGCAATAGCCTCTGCCAAATTGCTATTTATAGATTTATCGAGATGGCTCCAAAACAGACCAGCAGCGAACT